TGGGGAGGATGTGGAAGAGTTGGTGGAGGAGGACAATGAAGAACTAACCACTGATGAGCTGCTAGATCAACTTCAACAGCAAGAGGCCACACCTGAGGAAATTGCTTCGGAGGAGGGGAGAGAGAAATTGAAGAAGTTGCCTACTTCAAAGATTAGGAATCTGTGCAAAGTGGCTTGAAGTGCAAACCTTCCATGGATGAAAATCACCCCCAGACCGCTATTGCAAGCCATGCTGGTGACTATTACACTGACACTGTTGTGAAACACTTTAGGGAAAATCCCTAAAGGAATGGGGTACAGGCCACTATGGACAGATATGTTGTGCGACAGAGTCCAGTGACTCTGAAGCTGGTCCTAGTGGCATTAAAAGAAGAAGGGAAGCAACCCCGGAAAAGGACTTGACATCTCAAGTCCTAATGGAAGGGATTCCCCTTCTAAACACTAAAACCATCCGTCTCCCCTCCTCCCATCCTATCAATCATCACCAGATCTTCAATAAAGGTTAAGTGTCATGTAACTGTGCATGTTTTCTTAAGTTTGTGTGTATCAAAATTAATATTTTATGTGGTAAAAAAAATTTTTTCATACTTTTTTTAGTGTCTTGCACGGATTAATTTGATTTCCATTATTTCTTATGGGGAAAATTAATTCGCATAAACGATATTTTCGCATGACCCTTGAGCTCTCAGGAACGGATTAATAGCGTTATGCGGGGGTCCACTGTATACCCAAATTATATTTGGGTGTTTTTGCATATTTTAAAACTAAATTTTTTCTAAAAGTTTGTTTATTCCATTAAATTGTGTTAAAATTACTTCGTTTTATTTTCTATACAGTGGACCCTCGTCTAACGATGTTAATCCGTTCCTGAGAGCTCATCGTTAGCCGAATTATTGTTAGCCGAATTAATTTTCCCCATAAGAAATAATGGAAATCAAATAAATCAGTTCCTGACACCCCAAAGTATGAAAAAAAAAAAAATTTACCACATGAAATATACATTTTTATACACCCAAAAAGAAGACATGCATAATTACTACTGTACTAAATAAAGATACATGACACTTACCTTTATTGAAGATCTGGTGATGATTGATGAAATGGGAATGAGGGGAGATAGAAGTTTGTTTGGAAGGGGAATCCCCTTCCATGAGGACTTGAGGTAGCAAGTCCTTTTCCAGGGTTACTTCTCTTCTTCTTTTAATGCCACTAGGACCAGCTTGAGAGTCACTGGACCTCTGTCGCACAACAAATCTGTCCATAGAGCTCTATACCTCGCATTCCTTTAAGATTTGCCTAAAATGGGCCACAACATTGTCATTGTAATAGTCACCAGCACAGCTTGCAATAGCTGTGTTAGGATGATTTTCATCCATAAAGGTTTGCAGTTAAACCCCACTTTGCACACATTTCCTTAATCTTTTTTTTCAATTCCATACTAATTCTCACCCTTTTTACCACAGGGTTGGCACTAGAAGCATTCTTGGGGTCCATGGTGACTTATTTTGCAGTTACAAGCACTAAAAACACTAGGATAATTGTGAAATGTCCTAATGTATGCATAGCTGCAACTGCACTGGCTACTTGTAAACACTGGCACCCACGGGGCAGCGTGGACGGTCCCAGACGAATCACGTTGGGCGAGTTTTTTATTGTTAGGCGGGGCAAAATTTTTAAAGCTCAAACACTTTGTTAGGCAATTTAATGTTATGCGATGCATTCATTAGGGGAGGTCCACTGTATTTTAATAATAAATTATTTAAACACTTTCTGTACCATTTGAATGAATGATGTCAACTACCGATGCTTTCACTTTAAAAAATTTTTAAATTTCTAAATCTTTATAATGGCATAGTTATGTTAGTTGGGAATTTGGTTCCATATTCAGTGTTGGGTTGTTTGGTAGTCTTGTGGATGTGCATGTTTATAGATGGGTGATGGATATATCAGATAATTATTTTGTGGTAGCAACAGCGAGTGTAAGTAGTAGTTGGAGTACAAGGGAAATAGCATCAATGATAAGAGAGAAGTGAAACTGAATAAATCAAAGGAGGAGAAATTAGGGAAAGAAATAAACACGTTTGGAAAAATTTTGGGTTTTTACAAAAGTAGGTATAAGGAGGGGGAAAAATTTGAAGCATTAGGGGGTTTAAACCCCTTTCAGGGTCCTTCCCGTAATCTCGGCTTTAGTTGGGCCCAAACCGAGATCACCCCATGAGCCAGCTCACTCTGATAAACTGTGAGGGGTACATTTGGGCCTAATATAGGAATAAACTATGTGGTAGTGTGCCCCACATAAAACAATCCGCAGCACACTGTTATAATGAGAAAAAAAAATGAAATCATATTTTCGTTTAAAACAGAAACTTTGCAGTTTTTTTTTTGTATTTTTTTATGTTGTATTTGCGTTTTCTGGTTCATTTGATAAATGGAAACATATTACAGAAAAAGGAGATTTTGATTGGGTTTTAGCATTGGAAATGGCTTGAAACGGCTCAAAGTACGGAAGTGAAATTTTTTTTCCCGATTTTAAGGTAAACAAACAACCCACACGTCAATACCATCATGGGGGGTCTAATATACTTTCAAAAAATTGTGGATTTATACAATTTTACAGTATTGCATAACAAAAAAATTTCATTTTTTGGTGTGAAAAAAAATTTCATTTATGTAGAAAAAAACAAAATGGAATTTTTTTTTAAAGCCTCAAAACATAAAAATGAACAGAGGAAATGTTAGTTAGTCCCAGGAATCCCATTGTTCATTCGGACCCTATTTTGAAAGGGAATATTTTGAACTTTGTGTTAAATTTGGGCCAAATTAAAATTTCCGATCACTTTTTTTTGGGTTGAAACAGTTGATTTGGCGATTTTTTTCCCCAAATCGATAAATAGAAGAAAAACTAGTGAAATAGCTAAGAATTTGGTGATTGGAATAATGAAATTGGGGCCAAAAAGGGGGAGTCAAAGTCGGAAAACGCCGATTGAAAATACGCTGACAATAAAAATTCGCGAGAGCTTAAATTTTCGTCAATTTTCCCCCAATTTTCGACTTTTTGTTTTTTTACCTTCAAAAAAAAGATTTCTCAAAAGTTTTCAAAGAAAAAAAAAAAAATTTTTTTTTTTTAAATTTTTGGAACTGGTGCGTGCTCCAGATTTGGGGGCCCTTTGGGCCCTGAAAGGGTTAAATTTTTCAATTATGCGGGCCAACATTAGGGTTTGTGGGGAAGGTGGGGGAAAAAGGGAAAGATGATGGGAAAAATGAGATGAAGAGATGGAAAAAGGGGAAGTATTGGGGATACAGGTTTTTTTATAGTGTAGGAATGATAACATAAGGCAGAGCATATGGGGAGAAAAACAGGTTTTTTTGGAGTGATAGGGGTGAAGAACAGCCCAAAGAGGAAGGGGTGAATCTCTCCTGCAAATTTTGCAAAAATACGAAAAATTCTAAGGGTTTAATAAAAAGAGAAAACTAGGGAAGCAAATGGGCTTTGCAGTTCAAAAAAAAAGAGGGGAAGTTACAGGGGGGGGTCTAAAAAAAATTTAGGTTTTTAAAAAAACCTTTTTAAAGTTAACATTTTTTATCTTTTCTTTTGCACTCTGTTCTGACAAAATGCCTTAGGAAAAAAAATACAGCAAATGTATACGTAGGTCCCCCCTTACTGCATTCCAAATACTGACATTTAAAAAATGACTAAACTTTGTACGCTCCCAACACCGACTTTTTAATATGATCGCCTGCCAACCCCGGTTTTTTTTCATATTCTGTGACCCGGGCACTGCATCTCTCTCTTTTATCTTTTTTTTTTTTCTCACATAATTTATTTATTTGTTTTCATCTCTTTTTTTGTTTTACCTCGTTTACTCACCTCTCCCCCAACATTAAACACAAAAATTTTAAGTAAGTAATGATGTACTGTATATGCATTTTATCACTCTAGGCCCTTTAAATGTCGTATATATGGTGGGGGGGGGGGCATGGCTGGCTACCAACCCCCACACCTGACTTCCCACTATAAATACTACTCACCTCTCACTTACATTTTAAAACACAAATAGTTAAGGTAGGTAATGGGGGGTACGTTGTGTATTTTACTTTTTATTGTTTTTAATCCAGTTCTTTTTCTAACTTAAATATGTTTGGTAAACTATCTGGCATTTTTTATCATTTTTTTATGAAAAAAATGGGGTTCTCTTTCGGTGTTCTGCTTTCCGGTGGTAGCCCGGGAAACCCAACCTGCTGTATAAGCGGGGGCCCTATGTACTGTAATTCCTTTTAAAATTTTTTTTCGTGTACAGTTCAATTAATACCACCAAGAGTGACCTACTAGTAAATTATAACACATATAGTAAGAATCTTGAATTATTATCCCTTCACATTTTGCAGATAGGCCCAATATCAAACAGAGGGGCTGCTCTAATCCTTTGGGAATGGGGTTCTCCTTTTCATTAAAAAAAAACCCAGTTTGATGGGGAAATTTTTAACATTAATCTATGTATAAACTGCCTGCATTTCATTTAAAACTTAAAAAAAGTTTTTCTGTAAGTTGACATTGTGCCCACTTCATTAAACTTTCTCAAAAGTATGTAAACTTTAAAACCCTTTTTTGATTATTTTCCCCCGTAGACGGAACTTGCTGGCTAGTAATGAAGTTAATTTGTTTGGTTTGATGTCTATCAAACCAAACTATGCCCCTCACTGTTCCTTGATGCCAGTGAGGGGATCTTGATCTAGGAAATTGAACCTGATGTCCTTTTCCATGGATCACACTTGATTACCTTCCATGTTCCTAGGGGCTGATTGATACCTAAAAGTTTAGTGTTATCCCATGAATGTCATACAGTAATAATACTAATATGAGAGTTAAGGCCTAAATCCACAAAGATACCTAACATCAAAGATGATAGTTTTTAACAGTGCTGAGTGTATATATACATGACTTTAAAAGATAACAGTGAGATGTTTCTTTGTCTTTATACAGTATTGTTTTTCTTTGACAGCCAAGAGAGTCAACCAGCCTCCTAAAGCTATCATTGTTCAACCATCTCAAGAAATTAAGCTTCCAACCTCTGGGGTCATTATTGATGGCTCTGGAAGCACAGATGATGATATGATAGTGTCATACCACTGGGAGATGGTAACTGCACCATTGGGATACAAACTTCCTGATCAAACTGGGCCTACATTACAGCTCACTGATCTTATTCCAGGAAGTTATAGAATAATGTACGTTCCATGTTATAGGTTTCTTTTTCTTTCTCCCATTAAGGTGGGAGACTTTCTGACTGATGGTGGGGTTGTGTGTTGTTTCTATGAGACTACTAGCTTTCAAGGACACTCCGTGACTGAAGAGTCCAGTATTTTCTTGAATAGCAAGGATATTTCCTTGTAAATTAAAATTATAGCACTATTAGCCCAGTGGAATTACCACTTATTTATGAATAAAAAATACTGCATTTTTTTTTTTTTTTTTTTTACATTCTGAAACTATATTTTTATAAAGTAAATGCCTCAGTCTTTCCTCTGTGAACTTCCTCTCTAGAATGTGACAAGGTTATAAAAACTTTCATCCTGCTTAATCCAAACATGTTAAATGTTTTCTGTAAGTTGACCATCTCCCATTTCCCCAGACACTTGTATGACTCCACTGGGTATAGTGCTTCCCTATGGCAATAATAATAATACACATTCATTTTTTCTTCTTCTCTTTGTTTAGTAAATGAGTGTGTTTGATAGGAGTGAATGGAAACAAATGGAAACTTGATGTGCTGTTGGAGTGTGAGCAAAGTAACATTTATGAAGGAATTCAGGGAAACCGGCAGGCCGGACTTGAGTCCTGGAGATGGGAAGTACAGTGCCTGCACTCTGAAGGAGGGGTGTTAATGTTGCAGTTTAAAAACTGTAGTGTAAAGCACCCTTCTGGCAAGACAGTGATGGAGTGAATGATAGTGAAAGTTTTTCTTTTTTGGGCCACCCTGCCTTGGTGGGAATCAGCCAGTGTGCTAATAAAAAAAAAACATTTATTCCAACTCTGTGATTAGTCAATCTTTCAATATGGAAAAACCATCCCAAAGTACTGTCAATTAGTTTTGCTAATCCCAAACTTTATGTATTATGACAAGTATGAAGATTACAAAGCAGAAGGTAAGATGGTTTATTTTGATATCATAGTGAGGTCCTCTTCTTCAGTGTGTGTATGTGTGTGTGAGAGGAGGACCTCAGTGTGAGGCAAAAATGGACAGTACTTTACTTTTCTGATTTATGCTCTCTACCTGGGTTCATTTGTAACATTGACCAGTGTTTTTGGTGCACTTTTGTGTTTGTACTAGTATACATATAATCTGTTCAGATTTTTGAGGTGTATAAATCTGAGGTGAAAAGTAGGCGAGGCAGGGGTTGTTAGGAGGGGGTAAAAGAGGTTTCGAGTTTTAGAGGTTTCAGCATCCAGCTTGCTTGTGTGAGCATGTTAGTTACAAACGAGTGGAAAAAAGCTGTTTTTAATGAAAAACAGGAAAACCGGTTAGTCAGACCTAAGCCCTAAAGGTGGGAAAGGGAGGGCTTGCACTCACAATTAGGGGTGAGGATGTTGCAGTTTGAGGGAAATCTGATTGTGATGTCAGCACACCCCTGGAAAGATGTATAACAATGAATATGTTTTTTTCTTCAGGTCACATTGCCTTGGTGGAGACTACTGTTGAGATAAAAATAGATTGTTATACAGGTTAACCATCACTAATCCAGCATCATCGGGATCTATAGAGTGCTGGATTAGTGATTTTGCTGGATTATTGAGTGGTTAGGTTTGAATACACTTAACCCAATGGTGATATTTACACATTGGTGATTTCACCCACTTTACACCCCATTTTTGGTCCATACACTAGTACCACCTAACTCCGCTTCGGGCAGCCTGCGGAATGCACTTCAGGTTTGCAGTTGTTTGATCCTTCGGCAAATTCATGTCCCCATGGCCTTTCCACCAGTTCTCTGTCCAGCCTAGTCCACCTGCCAGCCCTTGCCGCCGCCTGCACAGTCGCAGCCATGTTCCGTTATCGCCAACATTGCCCAGCAGTCTGGCGTTCAGCCAACCAGCCAGCACCAGCCAGCCACGCCTGCCAGCCAGCCAGCAGCCAGCCAGCCAGCCAGCCACCAGCCAGCACAGCCATGCCAGCCAGCCAGCCAGCCAGCCAGCCAGCCAGCCAGCCAGCCAGCCAGCCAGCCACCAGCCAGCCAGCCAGCCAGCCAGCCAGCCAGCCAGCCAGCCAGCCAGCCAGCCAGCCAGCCAGCCAGCCAGCCAGCCAGCCAGCCAGCCAGCCAGCCAGCCAGCCAGCCACCCACAGCCAGCCAGCCAGCCAGCCAGCCAGCCAGCCAGCCAGCCAGCCAGCCAGCCAGCCAGCCAGCCAGCCAGCCAGCCAGCCAGCCAGCCAGCCAGCCAGCCAGCCGCCAGCCAGCCAGCCAGCCAGCCAGCCACCAGCCAGCCAGCCAGCCAGCCAGCCAGCCAGCCAGCCAGCCAGCCAGCCAGCCAGCCAGCCAGCCAGCCAGCCAGCCAGCAGCCAGCCAGCCAGCCAGCCAGCCAGCCAGCCAGCCAGCCAGCCAGCCCAGCCAGCCAGCCACCAGCCAGCCAGCCAGCCAGCCAGCCAGCCAGCCAGCCAGCCAGCCAGCCCACCAGCCAGCCAGCCAGCCAGCCAGCCAGCCAGCCAGCCAGCCAGCCAGCCAGCCAGCCAGCCGCCAGCCAGCCAGCCAGCACCCCAGCCAGCCAGCCAGCCAGCCAGCCAGCCAGCCACAGCCAGCCAGCCAGCCAGCCAGCCAGCCAGCCAGCCAGCCAGCCAGCCAGCCAGCACCAGCCAGCCAGCCACCCAGCCAGCCAGCCAGCACAGCCAGCCAGCCAGCCAGCCAGCCAGCCAGCCAGCCAGCCCCAGCCAGCCAGCCAGCCAGCCAGCCAGCAGCCAGCCAGCCCAGCGCCAGCCAGCCAGCCAGCCACCAGCGCCAGCCAGCCACCAGCCAGCCAGCCAGCCAGCCAGCCAGCCAGCCAGCCAGCCAGCCAGCCAGCCAGCCAGCCAGCCAGCCAGCCAGCCAGCCAGCCAGCCAGCCAGCCAGCCAGCCAGCCAGCCAGAAAATAAAATAAAATTTTGTATGTTCATTAGTCATGTCTCCAGCCCCCTCTTATATTAAGCTGTCTTCAGGAAGGCACTGGACAGGCACCTAAAGTCAGTACCTGACTAACCGGGCTGTGGTTCATACGTCAGTTTGTGTGCAGCCACCAGTAACTGCATGGTTGATCAGACCTTGATCCACCATGAGGTTTGGTCTCAGACCGAGCTGTGGGGGCGTTGACACCCAAAACCCTCTCCAGGTAAACACAAAAAATAGAAGAGTTACTGTGATGCAAACTACTGCATTGTTGTAATATTTGTGTAAATAATGTCAACCAATCCGTGATCGCATATTAGACCGGCCAGTTGCACATATATTGGATGCATGACATGCTTTGTTTACTCTCAAACATCAGCAAAAATCAAACATTTCTGCAACTTTGAGCTCAATTTCAAAGTACTTTCTGTCCTGAAAAAAATCAAAATCATCTCTATTATTGTAATATGTCCTGCATTCTATCAAATGAGACGAAAAAAAAATAGTCATAAAAAGCATATGAAAATACACTGCATAGTTGCTGTTTTACACCAAAAACATGGCCACCATTTTTCCTCGTTATGCACTGCGTGCTGCAGGATTTTTTTATATAGTGCACACACACTTACCACACAGACCTATTCTGTCATATGTAGGCCCAAATTTACCAGTCCCCAGTTTATCTGAGAAAGCTGAGCTCATGGCGTCATACTACGGGACCGCCGAGGGCTCAAAGCCACCTTATCTTTTATGGCTAATGTACGATATTTGCTCTTTACACAACAAGAAGCATTTCCTTTATTTGTTGGAACCATGGGTAGGGCTAAAAGTGAGCAGGTTATGACAATAAATGGAGAACAAACTGGAATGACTTGTGCAGCAAGTAGCGCCACCAAACAGTAGTGGCAGGTTGGTGTGGCGATTCCAGAAATTTGAAATTACACTAGCCGAAATTAGTGCCAGATTATTGATGGAATCAGATTAGTGATTGCCGACCTGTACTATCCACGTCGTGTGCAAATTTGCATATTGTTTATTCCTCTTCATTCACGTAGTAGTGCACTAGAGTACCTGTCCTGATTTTTTTCTCTTTCAAGCACTACTATGAGGGAAGCAAAATATTAGTGCATATCTGATGGTTTTCTCCATTTTCATAATATATTCTACTTTTTTTTATTTACCTTAGTTCTATTTTTGTGTGTTTTCTTTTACTCCATCTCTTTTAATTTCTTATTTTATATGATCCTGAAGAAATAATTTTTTTGTAATTAAAGTAAATAACAATGCTTCCTTTAACTCTTTGCAACAATAATAAAGTATTTTTTAGTGCTTAATGTGTTAATTAAAATATATGACATTAGAGAGCAACTGAAATGCCTGAAAAAAGTTATGCTCAAAAACAGCAGTTGCAACTGGGAGGAAGGCATCAAAGGTATAGCTGTACAGTCAGATATACTAATCCTTCATGTATTTCTTGTAATAATAATGATATACAGTACAGTGGACCCCCGCATACCGTACAATCCGCATACCGTTCGCTTTTTTCGCAAAAATTTTGCCTCGCATACCGCCCAAAAACCTGCTCACCGCCCTTCGTCCGAGACGCGTCCAATGTGCGGCCTGAGCCACGCTCACATGTTCCGCCGGTGGCATTGTTTACCAGCCAGCCTCCGCGGTAACATCCAAGCATACAATCGGAACATTTTGTATTATTACAGTGTTTTTGGTGATTTTTTCTGGAAAATAAGTGACCATGGGCCCCAAGAAAGCTTCTAGTGCCAACCCTACAGCAATAAGGGTGAGAATTACTATAGAGATGAAGAAAAAGATCATTGATAAGTATGAAAGCGGAGTGCATGTCTCCGAGCTGGCCAGGTTGTATAATAAACCCCAATCAACCATCGCTACTATTGGTGGTACAGCTGCTGCTGCTGCTGTACCTCCATCAGCTGCTGCTGCTGTTGTACCGTCTGCTGCTGCTGTAGCATCGTCTGCTGCTGCTGTAGCATCGTCTGCTGCTGGTGTAGCATCGTCTGTTGCTGCTGTAGCATCGTCTGCTGCTGCTGTAGCATCGTCTGTTGCTGCTGTAGCATTGTCTGTTGCTGCTGTACCACCGTCAGCTGCTGCTGCTGCTGTAGCACCATTGTTGGTGTGGCTTATTGAGAATACCAAGAAACAATTAACCCCAGAGGATTTGCCACCCAGGATAACCCAAAAAAAGTCAGTGTCATCGAAGACTGTCTAACTTATTTCCATTGGGGTCCTTAATCTTGTCTCCCAGGATGCAACCCACACCAGTCGACTAACACCCAGGTGAACAGGGAAAAATGCCTGGAACTAGTGCTCATATTGGTGAATTTAAAGCCAGCAAAGGTTGGTTTGAGAGATTTAAGAATCGTAGTGGCATACACAGTGTGATAAGGCCTGTTCTGGAAGAAAATGCCAAACAGGACCTACAGTACTCAGGAGGAAAAGGCACTCCCAGGACACAGTGTCTCATCAGTCATTGCTGCATCTTCAGTAAAGGTAAGTGTCATTTATTCTTCATTTAGTAGAGTAGTACATGCACAATATATATTGTGCATGTACTGTACTATTGTGCATGTATCCTTCTCTTTGTGTGTAGGAAAATGTATATTTCATGTGGTAAAAATTTTTTTTCATACTTTTGGGTGTCTTGCACGGATTAATTTGATTTCCATTATTTCTTATGGGGAAAATTCATTCGCATACCGAACATTTCGCATAACAACCAGCCCTCTTGCACGGATTAAGGTCGCTATGCGGGGGTCCACTGTACTGACAACATGTGTCGGATTCCTCATGCATTTCGTTTGTAATTCATTACAACAAACTGTTTGTTTCTCCATGCCCAGGTCTTCTTGTATGGGTCACCATTAGAAAGTGTATACTGTCTGTGTCACTCTTATGTTAGATATACTAGCAAGACAGGTTGACTTACGATTTACACATTTTAGTCTTTCCAGCTACTTATTAACCATTTTATTGCCTAATTTTAATGTAAATTTATTTAATAACCTTGGTAGATAAGTCATTATGTATTTTATTGTATAAAGTTATTAAAGAGTTATGTAGGTAAGCATAAAAAATGCATGTAATAAAAATCCAATATATGTACTTTACTTGCAGCCTTAACTATCAAAACATTTTTGTATTGTTTGAATTTTTGTACAGGTTGCGAGTCAAGGATAAAGAAGGGCTTGAAGGAAATGAGACAACTGTTGTGAATGTTATTAAGGAAACAGATTATCCACCAACAGCAAATGCTGGGGGTGATCAGATAGTTTACCTCCCTCAGGTGAGCAGCTGACTACTACTAAAGAATTCACAAATAATTTTTTTTTATTTATGTACTGATGAATTCACAAATAACCTGCACGTAGGAGAGAAGAACTTATGACAATGTTTTGGTCCAGCTTGGACCACTTACAAAGTCACTGTGATTTAGTAAATAGTCCAAGTTGGACTGAAACGTTATTGTAAGCTCCTCCCCTATGTGCAGATTGTTTGTGCATTGTTCAAGTCGTGGTATTGTGGCCTTTTGTTCTTTACTGATGAATTCTTTATATAATACGGTATCCATAGCTTAAACATAAATTTTCAACTTGTTAATTTTTTTTTGCACTTGTAAGATTATTAATGTTTCTTTCTAAGTCATGGATGATAATTTTGCTAACTTCTTATTCCTTTCATATTGAACTCTGTTTTACTGAATGTTCTTAATAACTTGCATTTTTGTAATAAGTGCTTCCTGATTTGAGAGACCTGGTCTGAGACCTTATTGTAGGGACAACTATAGCACAGCAAATTTATCTGGCCTACCTCCCTTTTAATACTATATATAAGGGGGAGAGAAAAATTTCATGCCACTTATGCACCTATAACTTACGTTGAATTTCCATCATTATTTCTTTATACCTCTACTGCAGCATGTGTGAGGAGTTAACTGTTCTTATGCTAATTGGATATGTTGTATAGAATATCTCAAGTGTTAAGTACTGAGAAAGAAATTTTATACATGTGGTTTTTTTATGTAAAATATGAAGTGATCAATGTACCATGGGATCACCATTGTAATGAGTATCATTTGATGCATGCATCCTATATACGTATTGTAATTCTAAATATGCTCTAATGTTTTGCCTACCTCATGATACTGTGGGTATGGTACAGCCTCTCCTCACTTAGCGACGTACTCGTTTATCGACACCTCGGACTTAAAACGGCTTCTCTGACCAGCATTCATACCTAAATAATGTACAGTGGACCCTCAATTATCGGCCGTTCTGGATATCGGCCAATTCGGTTTTTGCCCGCTTTTTTGGGCCAAAATTCTATCCCGGTTATCGACTGTTATTTCAGAGATTGGCTGTATTGGACACATAATAAATCACTCTTGACCACATTAAATGTCTTATTTTAGGTTAATATAGACATTTTCATTAATCCATCTATGATCTTTTCTTCAAAATTAGATAAGTAACACGTTACATAGCATATAGCATATAAACATGCATTGTTTATGTGCTATCAAGTGGAGAGTTGGGTGGAGAGTAAATATTAGGTTTTCTCTGATTCAGCGTTAGAGAAAACCGTGAATCTAGCTTCTTGCCCAGTAACCGCCCTTAATACATAAGCTTTTGTTTACAATTCTTGGCATGAATTATTCATTACTTCTCCCATTGTTTATGATGGCATCTAAAGGTAGTTGCTAGAAACGATTAAACTTGGTGAACATGGTAGTAATATGGCTGTGTAGTGTAATAATATGGCTGAGGAGTGTAGCCCAGGGGGGCTGTTCTACACAGAGAGGAGGAGGAGTTTGGGATTCCCAACTCCCCCCCCTCCTGCTTTCTTCAATATGCCAACAAGAGTCTTCAATAAAAATATGTAATGTTCATTCATCATTAAAATTTGTGCTTTACATTTATTTGTCATTGTTTTCTGTATATAAAACTAAAGTTACTCTTTAAAAAATGTATTTTTTGTTAATATTTTTGGGTGTCTGAAATGGCTTAATTGGATTTACATTAATTCTTATGGGAAATATTATTTCGGTTTTCGGCTTTTTCAGATTTAAGCCAACCTTCTGGAACAGATTACAGCCGATAACCGAGGGTCCATTGTATGTTACAGCTGATTTCCTCTATTCTATTTATTTCCATATACAGTACACTACTGTATAAACATTGAAAAATGTACCAGAAATGTTATAAATGGTGCAAAGGTGACATGAAAACAATATCAGAGATGCTTGACACAAACCCACTACCATTATAGTATGCTCCTCCTTTAGTGATGAATTCGTTTAACGACGTGGTCTCTGGAATGGAACTCCGTCGGTAAGTGAGGAGAGACTGTACAGTGGACCCCTGGATTAAGTCGTCATCGGAATAAGTAATATTCAGAGTGAGTAACATTTTGCATCAAAATATTGACTCGGTGAGCGTCGCTGAACTCAGTATAAGTCATTCGTCTTGAATGTGTCCTCGCAGCTTGAGCTGCCTGAAACCCCATGTATGTACAGCCAGTATGCCATTGTTTACCAGCCAGTGAGGACAATCCCACGCATTCATACGATATATTTAGTATTCCATTCTTGTTAGTACTTGTAACTGCTAAATAAGCCACCATGAGCCCAAAGAGAGCTTCTAGTGCCAGCCCTTTGGTAAAGAATGTGAGAAAAACTATAAAACTATAGAATTCAAGAAAAAGTTTGTAGAAAGATACAATAGTGGCGGTGGTAGAGGATGGTAGTGGTTGTGATGGTAATAGAAAGTGGTAGTATGGGCCAACAGATCTGCTGCAGTGTTCCTGCTTTCTTATGTACACCAGCCAGGGTACTCCCTCACACACACCAGCCAGGATACTTCCCCACACACACCAGCCAGGTTACTTCCCCATACACATCAGCCAGGGTACTTCCCCACACACACCAGCCAGGGTACTTCCCCACACACACCAGCCAGGGTACTTCCCCACACACACACACCAGTCAGGGTACTTCCCCACACACACACACCAGCCAGGGTACTTCCCCACACACACATACCAGCCAGGGTACTTCCCCACACACACACACCAGCCAGGGTACTTCCCCACACACACACACCAGCCAGGGTACTTCTCCACACACACACCAACCAGGATACTTCCCCACACACACACACCAGCCAGGGTACTTCCCCACACACCAGCCAGGGTACTTCCCCACATACCAGACAGGGTACTTCCTCACGCACAATTTGATTTGATTGAGACTTGCGCATGAGTGAATAGAATTATCAAAGCTTATTGCTTGGGAAGCATTGAAAATTGGGTTGAGCAAATAAGATTCTTTTAGTGGGATGGTTTGTGAAAGACCTGCCTAGTATGGGCCAACAGGTCTACTGCAGTGTTCCTGCTTTATGTACATCAGCCATGGTATTTCCCCACACACACCACCCAGGGCACTTCCCCACACACCAGACAGGATACTTCCCCACACACATGATTTGATTTGAGTGGGACTTGTGCATGAGTGAATAGAATTATCAAAGCTTACTATTTGGGGAGCATTGAAAATTGGGTTGGGCAAATACGACTGTTAGTGGGATGGTTTGTGAAGGACCTGTCTAGTATGGGCCAATAGGCCTGCTGTAGTATTCCTGCTTTCTTATGTGCAAACATTTATGGATGAGCATCACTCTGACACAGCTGTTGCAGGCCGCGCTGGCAACATCTTCAATGACTATGTTGTGTCCCATTTTATGGAAATCTTAGAGACGCCAGAAACAGAGCTCGCTGGACAGATATTTTGTGCGACAGGGGTCCAGTGACTCTCAAGCTGGTCCTAGTGCATTAAAAAACAAAAGGGAAGTTACCCTGGAAAAGGACTTGGTACCTGAAGTCTTATGGAAGGGGATTTCCCTTCCAAACAATTAGTACACCTCCATCCTCTCCCCTACTCCCGTCTCATCACTCATCATTAAGTCTTCAATAAAAGTAAGTGTCATTTTAGTAATGTTTACTCTGCATGTCTCATTGTTTTCTGTGTAGGGAAATGTATATTTCATGTAGAAAAATGATTTTGTTTAATACTTTTAGGTGTCTGGAACGGATTAATTGGAGTTCAATTATTTTTTTATGGGAAAATTAATTCGGAATAAGTCAGGTTCGGGTCCCTCAGCCTGGAGAAGAGTTCAGCTCCATGGTCTGGATACAATTAGGATTATCCAAATCTAACCTAAACTTTTGACCCCTAAAGTCATTACTTCTGGTTCACTCGTTTAACGAAAACGAACTTAAATTTTACTTAAAGAAATATTACGTATTTTGTCAGTTTTCCTGTGGTTCACAGTGACATTATTTTGTATATATTTCTAGCATTGTTTGTTTATAAAATTTTATGTACAATATATGGTATTTAGGTTTAAATATGTCTTGTACAGGTACCATCTGACTTACCACCGAGGTTGTTTTCTGACCATACCAGTTTTGGTAAGTCAAAATGGACGCAAGTTCAACCTTAGAAATTACCGATAGGAATTTAAAACTTCAAAAATAAATCTTAACCCTTTAAACTGTCCAAACGTAGATATACTTTGCCTGTGCAGCGCTCCAAATATTTTGAAAAATAAAAAAGTAGTTTTTGTTATTTAAAATTGAAGAGTGCATTTTTATAAATGGGTATAGATAAAAAAAAATTTTTAAGGTCCATACTATACCCCGAGATATAAGCCCAGAGGTTGGTGGTTATATGATGAAGGTGTCGGCCCACATGGACCAACTACCGCCAATTTCTTTTTCCATTTTTTTTTTTTTGTTGTTTTCCATGTTATGATACTAATGTTTTGTTGCAGATCTTTTGATTTCATAAGCCAATTCTTGTTGAGACCAAATGTTTTGGGACTGAATTAAGTAATCATACTGTCACAAACACAACACGTTCACACTGATAAATGAATTTGTAGGCTGGTTCACGCGAATTGCTATTGTTTAACATATATATACAAGTTATATGGTATGTAAACAAGTCCCATTTTATTTCTAGAAGTAACCACTGTAATGGTACTCCCAAGAAGCATGGATTCATACAGAGTGCCACCAACCCCACATTGCTGACACTTGTTATTGTGTGGGTCTTTTCGCACTCCGGGGTCCGCTGTTGATAGTGGTATAGCACACACAACCACTTTTTCTGAGAGAACTTCTTGGAGTAGATGGTAATGTACCAGGCAGTGACAGTTAGGGATTCTTCTGTCGGGCACTTGACCCCTTCTTCTTGTGATTGACAGGTCGCTGTTTGTGGGTGACAGT